GCGTAGATGCTAGCACCTATGCACCTAATACAAGAGATAGGTGCTAACACCTAGGTAGTGAGTCGAATCAACGTTTGGCTCATCCCGGGAATCGAAACCATGTTCTTTCGATTGTGAGTTGAATTTCAGTATTTTTCACAGTGCTGTTATAGCCTTCAGAGTTACTCGCAACAGTTACCTCTCAACAGATACTATCAACAGTTACCCCTCAACAGATACTGTCAAAAGTTACTCTCAACAGATACTATCAACAGTTACTCTCAACAGATACTATCAACAGTTACTCTCAACAGATACCTCTCAACAGATATTGTCAACAGTTACTCTCAACAGTTACCCCTCAACAGATACTGTCAACAGTTACTCTCAACAGATACTGTCAACAGTTACTCCCAACAGTTACCCCTCAACAGATACTGTCAACAGTTACTCTCAACAGATACTATCAACAGTTACTCTCAACAGATACCTCTCAACAGATACTGTCAACAGTTACTCTCAACAGATACTGTCAACAGTTACTCTCAACAGATACTATCAACAGTTACTCTCAACAGATACCTCTCAACAGATACTGTCAACAGTTACTCTCAACAGATACCGCTCAACAGATACTGTCAACAGTTACTCTCAACAGATACCTCTCAACAGATACTATCAACAGTTACTCTCAACAGATACCTCTCAACAGATACTGTCAACAGTTACTCTCAACAGATACCTCTCAACGGATACTGTCAACAGTTACTCTCAACAGATACCTCTCAACAGATACTGTCAACAGTTACTCTCAACAGATACTATCAACAGTTACTCTCAACAGATACCTCTCAACAGATACTGTCAACAGTTACTCTCAACAGATACCGCTCAACAGATACTGTCAACAGTTACTCTCAACAGATACTGTCAACAGTTACTCTCAACAGTTACCCCTTAACAGATACTGTCAACAGTTACTCTCAACAGATACTATCAACAGTTACTCTCAACAGATACTATCAACAGTTACTCTCACCAGATACTGTCAATGGATACTGTCTACAGTTACTATTATCCGTTACTATCAACTGTTATTATTATCAGTTACTATTAACACTTAATATCAACAGTTACTATAAACAATTACTATCAATAATTACTATCAACAGTAACCATCAACAGTTACCCTCAACAGTTACTATCAACAGTTACTCTCAACAGTTACTATCAACAGTTACTATCAACAGTTACTATCAACAGTTGCTATCAACAGTTACTCTCAACAGTTACTATCAACAGTTACTATCAACAGTTACTATCAACAGTTATTATCAAAAGTTACTCTCAACAGTTACTATCAACAGTTACTATCAACAGTTGCTATCAACAGTTACTATCAAGAGTTACTATCAACAGTTACTATCAACAGTTACTATAAACAGTTACTCTCAACAGTTACTATCAACAGTTACTATCAACAGTTACTATCAACAGTTACTATCAACAGTTACTCTCAACAGTTACTATCAACAGTTACTATCAACAGTTGCTATCAACAGTTACTATCAACAGTTACTATCAATAGTTACTATCAACAGTTACTACCAACAGTTACTATCAACAGTTACTATCAACAGTTGCTATCAACAGTTGCTATCAACAGTTACTATCAACAGTTACTATAAACAGTTACTCTCAACAGTTACTATCAACAGTTACTATCAACAGTTACTATCAACAGTTACTATCAACAGTTGCTATCAACAGTTACTCTCAACAGTTACTATAAACAGTTGCTATCAACAGTTACTCTCAACAGTTACTATCAATAGTTACTATCAACAGTTACTATCAACAGTTACTATCAACAGTTATTATCAAAAGTTACTCTCAACAGTTACTATCAACAGTTACTATTCAACAGTTACTATCAACAGTTGCTATCAACAGTTACTCTCAACAGTTACTATCAACAGTTACTATCAACAGTTACTATCAACAGTTACTATCAACAGTTATTATCAAAAGTTACTCTCAACAGTTACTATCAACAGTTACTATCAACAGTTACTATCAACAGTTGCTATCAACAGTTACTCTCAACAGTTACTATCAACAGTTACTATCAACTGTTACTATCAACAGTTATTATCAAAAGTTACTCTCAACAGTTACTATCAACAGTTACTATCAACAGTTACTCTCAACAGTTACTATCAACAGTTACTATCAACAGTTACTATCAACAGTTACTATCAACAGTTACTATCAACATTTACTATCAACAGTTACTCTCAACAGTTACTATCAACAGTTACTATCAACAGTTACTATCAACAGTTATTATCAAAAGTTACTATCAACAGTTACTCTCAACAGTTACTATCAACAGTTACTCTCAACAGTTACTATCAACAGTTACTATCAACAGTTACTCTCAACAGTTACTATCAACAGTTACTATCAGCAGTTACTATCAACAGTTACTATCAACAGTTACTATCAACAGTTACTCTCAACAGTTACTATCAACAGTTACTATCAGCAGTTACTATCAACAGTTACTATCAACAGTTACTATCAACAGTTACTATCAACAGTTACTCTCAACAGTTACTATCAACAGTTACTATCAACAGTTACTCTCAACAGTTACTATCAACAGTTACTATCAACAGTTGCTATCAACAGTTACTCTCAACAGTTACTATCAACAGTTACTATCAACAGTTACTATCAACAGTTACTATCAACAGTTATTATCAAAAGTTACTCTCAACAGTTACTATCAACAGTTACTATCAACAGTTACTATCAACAGTTGCTATCAACAGTTACTCTCAACAGTTACTATCAACAGTTACTATCAACAGTTACTATCAACAGTTATTATCAAAAGTTACTCTCAACAGTTACTATCAACAGTTACTATCAACAGTTTACTCTCAACAGTTACTATCAACAGTTACTATCAACAGTTACTATCAACAGTTACTATCAACAGTTACTATCAACATTTACTATCAACAGTTACTCTCAACAGTTACTATCAACAGTTACTATCAACAGTTACTATCAACAGTTATTATCAAAAGTTACTATCAACAGTTACTCTCAACAGTTACTATCAACAGTTACTCTCAACAGTTACTATCAACAGTTACTATCAACAGTTACTCTCAACAGTTACTATCAACAGTTACTATCAGCAGTTACTATCAACAGTTACTATCAACAGTTACTATCAACAGTTACTCTCAACAGTTACTATCAACAGTTACTATCAGCAGTTACTATCAACAGTTACTATCAACAGTTACTATCAACAGTTACTATCAACAGTTACTCTCAACAGTTACTATCAACAGTTACTATCAACAGTTACTCTCAACAGTTACTATCAACAGTTACTATCAGCAGTTACTATCAACAGTTACTATCAACAGTTATTATCAATAGTTACTCTCAACAGTTACTTAAAAATTCACTCAGGTTTGTGAGTATTCCTCACCAGTAGTGTTCCAGCACACTCAGGTACTTCATTTAGCTAGGCTCGGCTCTAGCTCCTGGTATCAACCTCTCCCTTTTCGAAATTCTGATGTGAAAATTACCTTGTTGCCTTTTCAATTTCCTCTCTTCTACTCGTTGCACATTCTTCAAGTCTTTCATTTCCACTGATTATTCCAATGGGTGAATTTCCCATTAATGCCTTTCTTTCTAATATATTTATCTTATTTTTTCCCGTTGTGTTTCTGTCATATTTAATTGTGGTTCTTCTGTTGTTTGGTGGCGGGTTGTATTTGGTCGACACAACACTGGTGGATTTTCCAGCGATAAACTACCCTTCTCTGCAGGGGTACCTTTGCTCTTTACAATTATCTGTTATTTTGTCAATTGTTCCAGCCACGGTATAGTTATTTTGCTGGTTGTCTTTGAATTATTCCAGTCACGGTATTGTTTTTTGCGGGTTGTCTGTGAATTGTTCCAGCCACGGTATTGTTTTTTGCGGGTTGTCTGTGAATTGTTCCAGCCACGGTATTGTTATTTTGCGGGTTGTCTGTGAATTGTTCCAGCCCCGGTATTGTTATTTTGCGGGTTGTATGTGAATTGTTCCAGCCACGGTATTGTTATTTTGCGGGTTGTCTGTGAATTGTTCCAGCCACGGTATTGTTATTTTGCGGGTTGTCTGTGAATTGTTCCAGCTACGGTATTGTTATTTTGCAGTTTATCTGTGAATTGTTCTAGTCTCAGTATTATAACATTGTCAGATATTTGTGAGTTGCTCCAGAATAAGTATTGTGACTATTGCTATTAACTGCAGGACTTGCCGTAGTGACTATCTCGTTTCCTTAATCTCAGAAATCATCAAGGTCCGGAACTGACATATCTTATAATCCCATTCCCCTAATATTCTTTTCTCTCGTGTCTTTTTATGTAGTAGCACCTGGGGAAAACTGCATCTGCTATCCTGCCAGTTTGCAAGGTTTTCGTAAACGCGATGAGGTTAAGGTGTGGTCTTCTAATATCTCATTTATTGCTTGAGTTTTATTTTTTATGGAGTCTGTGTTTGTTGTGTATTACATTTGAGGTGTTACAGTCCTGGAAGTGGGAAGTAGAGTACCTGTACTCTGAAGGATGGGTGAGGATGTTACAGTACTGGAGGTGGGAAGTACAGTGCCTGCACTCTGAAGGATGGTTGGGGATGTTACAGTCCTGGAGGTGGTAAGTACAGTGCCTACACTCTGAAGGATGAATGGGGAAGTTACAATTCAGAGAGTCATCTGAAGTGTGATGTCAGCACACTTCCGGCAAGACAGTTATTAAATAAATTATAACGAAAGTACTTTCTTCTTCATCAAGTTACACTACCTCGGTGGGAGACGGCCGGACTCTTGGTATATATGTAATGCCTAAAAATCTTTAAAAAATTGCAACCTGGTAAGTGGTAAATATTGATCTATCTGCTGACGTGATAACACAAATAGCGATCATGATAACAAGATAACAACATTACTTACCTAACGAGGATTCGTTATCTTGCAGTGTTAATATCCGCCTTTGTTTGATTATCACTTCCCTGTACTTTTCAGTTACCACAGACTCCGCTCACACGATACCATTATACCATTAACGATACCAGTTAATGGTTATCTCCAGTATATAAAAAAATGAGTCTTCTTCTTACATTTTAATGTAAATTGTGAAAAACTGTATATTAATGGCCAAAATACATAATTTTCGAAAAATTTCTGACTCACGTTTTCAGGATATTTTTTTTTATTTTCAGATAGGCCGTAGACCTGTTTTGTTATGTAGACACAAAATTTCGCATACACATATATAGTAAAAAAAATTCCACCCACATTATTGTCTTCACTAAAACACTGAATTATGTATATAATGAGGTGAGAATTCAATATAAACATCCCATTAAGTCACACTTGGTAGACGTTCTTAGTTACGGAACTCTGAAATATATTAGTAAATTCAACCTTCGTAAGATCTGTAAGAGAACTCTGAGGTTTTGTGTTCTGGAGTGCTGGATGCTGGCACTGTCTTAGCTGCTGGCACTGTCTGGATGCTAGCACTGTCCTGGTGGATCTGTTTCTTGGCACACGTGGATGTGGTTGGCTGCTAGGGCCAGCAGCGTCACTCCCTCCACCAGGTCTGGAGACCGACTGAACTACTGGCACCGGTGCCACGCTTGCACAGCCTCGTAGAGTGCCACCAGCAGGCACTGGATGCTCACTTCCCTTGGTGTTAGTCAGGGCATTCTCTCTGCAAAAAGATTAATCCTGGATGAATCTTGACTATTGACTCTTCTTCCAGCTCAGAGGACCTCTCTCCGTCAGGTCAAAGACACCTTCAGTGGAACTTTTGGTCTTGTGACCGAGGTCTTCCACCGATTTATCGGTCCAACCCAAAGCTTCGCTCTACATTACAGCTTTATGAAGTCAATAATAAAGCTCTACACTGAGTGAAACATCATTTGATTAGACTCTACACTGAATGAAGCAAGATTTGATCAAGCTCTACACAGAACTAAGGAAGACTTGATAAAGCTCTACATAGAGCTGAAAGGATATGATAAAACTCTACACAAAACGAAGCGACACTTGACAAAAGCTCTCCAGAGAGCGAAATACGACCCAACAAAGCTCAATCATACCTGCCATCATTCTGGAGACCAGTTGGCAACTTACCAACAAGAAGACCATTAATCTAACAACTCCTCTGGTCCCAGACCAACTCGTTAGACACCATTACCATAGCAATTAACATCCGAGATCTGCATGCTTAATTGAGGCATCATGCTGGCATAATGTATGATTGTAAGTGGAACATTACCTAAAGTGAGAGTTGAGATTTGGAACGAAAACTGAAGTCAAAAATGTCGAAGATGAAAGGAAATTTTGACTCTGAGGAGTCGAAACGTGGAGGCAAAAGTTAATGGGTCGACGTTTCTTCCTTGGAGGAGGTTTATTGGGTCATTATTAATGATGTAATTGTTTTAGCTCTTAATTCTCATAACTTTAATGTTATTATTATTGTTGTTGATGTTGGTTGTTAGTATTGTTGTTATTATTAGTAGTAGTAGTGGTAGTAGTAGTAGCAGTAATAGTAATAGTAGTAGTAATACTAGTAGTAGTAATGGTAGTAGAAGTAGTAGTAGTAGTAATAGCAGTAGTAGTAATAGTAATAGTAGTAGTAGTAATAGTGGAAGTAGTAGTAGTGGTAGTAGTAGTGGTGGTGGTAGTAGCAGTAATAGTAGTAGAAGCAGTAGTAGTAGTAGTAGTACTACTACTACTACTACTACTACTACTACTACTACTACTACTACTACTACTACCACGACTACTACTACTACTACTACTACCACGACTACTACTACTACTACTACTACTACTACTACTACTACTACTACTACTACTACTACTACTACTACTGCTGCTGCTGCTGCTGCTGCTAATAATAATAATAATAATAATAATAATAATAATAATAATAATAATAATAATAATAATAATAATAATAATAACAATAACAATAACAATATATAGATTCACTATACTAGAACAATATTTCAACAAATGAAATTTACAAGCAGGAGTTGTTATAGTCAGAATTACTCTTATCTCTCCTTACGAAACAATCATGGTAAGAGCCACTCTCAACTCTTAACATGAAGCAATTTGCTATTTTTCTTTAAGCTTCCAATAAACAAACTCTTGATTTTACGGGTGAAATTAAAATTCAATATAACGAAAATGTTTTCCAGACTCTATTTGCATTTTAATGTAATATTTATTTATGGGAAATTTTTATTAATATGTTTGGTGAAACGAGGGTTATTAAGGTTGGTTAATGGGGTTGGTTAACGAGGGTCATTAAGGCTGTATGTCACCTGTACACCACCAGTCAAGAATACTTTAATACATAAAATAGTGATTAATATAAACTACTAGTGTGTATATACTGAGAGACATACACCTCTCAGTGTATATACACTGAGGAATATACACCTCTTTGTGTATACATTCGTGAAAACTTATGCAAATATTTTAGCCTGGACAGGCTGAACACCTTTGTGAAAAGGCACAAAGCATTGTGTACATCTAGATTGCTTACTCGTTGTGCCATCCTCCTCAAAACTCTCTAGGTAATTTTTAAGACTTGTGTCAGTGGCAATGCTTCCCAGAGGGACTCCAAGCAGAATGCTGTCAGTGAGGGCAGTGGTTGACCCCCATGGTACTATGGCTGTCACTCCTTACCTACTGGTTGGCTGAGATGATTCCCCATTCCGATGGACTGAGATAGAGTCCCATGGTCTATCTTTGAGTCATTCACCTTCTCAAGCTCTTCCAGTGGTGACTATTTCGTGTCTGCCAGATTGCCATCGTTAAGAAACCAGATGTTTAGTTTGCTGGTTAATTTGATACCTGATTTCCCCTAACAGCTGTGCGGAAAAGAGATGGAGCGAGAGGGTCCCCTTACTGATCACCTTTCAACCAAGGGACTTCTTGCTTCCCAGACTGAAGTATCGACTACCTGCTGTATCCAGCAGAAACCAAAGGAAAAAAACTGCTGCTACTGCCACGTATTTTAATACCCGAAAAAAGGCGAGTTTAACAAGTAATATTACTTACCACAATTAACAATGTCTGAAGATACATAATAACCTTCATACCGACTATTCCATTAAGACATACACCACACATACTAACATACATACATACATAATACCAACATTTCTACATAATCCACACGAACACTGTGCCAACATCCACGAGCCTTGTGCATCTCATTAAGGTCCTCCAGACGCAAAAATATGTATCATACACAGTTTTAATCATACGTAATGGCTGAGTATGTGTAGACGGCACACCTGGCCAGGCATTACCTTAAATTATGAAGGCGAAATTGTTAGTTTTATCTTCAATATTAATAAGTCAGCAGTGGATCAATGTTGACAGTGATGTATAGGTCAGAAGCTTGTCCATAAACTATTATTATTATTATTATTATTATTATTATTATTATTATTATTATTATTATATTATTATTATTATTATTATTATAATTATTATTATTATTATTATTATTATTATTATTATTATATTATTATTATATTAGTATTTATTATTATTATTATTATTATTTTTTGTTATATTTATGCTACTGCTACTATTACAACTACTATTACAAGTACTATTTCTACTACTTATAATAATAATAATAATAATAATAATAATAATAATAATAATAATAAATAATAATAATAATAATAATAATAAAAATAATAATAATAAAAGTTAGAAACATATTTCACAAAAACAGGGGGACAAGGAAAATAATGAGCATGAGGAAACAAGAGGAAGATAGATGAAAGGAATGGAATGAAGGAGTTGGATAGACTAAAGAATGTTTGGAGGCGTCAGGATGGATGCGACAAGCACATCACTCCTCTCCTTTTGTTCTGGATAACACAGGCGTGAGACCAGGCTGTCTATTGTGTGTGTGTGTGTGTGTGTGTGTGTGTGTGTCTGGGTGTGTTCTCAACTACTTGTGGTTGGAAGGGTCGAGTTACAGCTCCTGGTCCCTCCTGTGTGTGTGTGAGTGGGTTGTGTGTGTGTGTGTGGGTGTGTGTGTGTGTGTGTGTGTGTGTGTGTGTTGTGTTGTGGGTGTGTGTGTGTGTGTGTGTGTGTGTGTGTGTGTGTGTGTGTGTGTGTGTTGTGCGTAGTGTGTGTGTGTGGTGTGTGTGTGTGTGTGTGTGTGTGTGTGTGTGTGTGTGTTGTGTGTTTGTGTGTGTGTGTGTGTGTGTGTGTGTGTGTGTGTGTGTGGGTGTGTTCTCAACTACTTGTGGTTGCACGGGTCGATTCACAGCTCCTGGTCCCTCCTGTGTGTGTGTGTGTGTGTGTGTGTGTGTGTGTGTGTGTGTGGGAGACAAAAACATGTCTGAGTTACTGAAACCTGGCTTGCTTTATCCGTAGAGTTTTGAGATATTCTGATGTATCTAAGTGAAAAATGGGCTGTAATTTTAAGGTTCGGGTAACTTAACACTTGGTTCCTATGTCCACAGAGGTTTAAAGCTCTCTTGACGAAATCGGGATTGAGAAAAACTGGCAAAATAAATCTGGGTTGTTATGTCCGTAGAGTGTTTGCTAATAGCTGACGCCTCTCTCTGTTGCCTGGCTGATGACTGTTTCTGTTGCCTGGCTGACGACTGTTTCTGTTGGTTGGCTGACGACTGTTTCTGTTGGTTGCCTGACAACTGCTTCTGTTGGTTGGCTGACGACTGTTTCTGTTGGTTGCCTGACAACTGCTTCTGTTGGTTGGCTGGTGGCTCCTACTGCTTCACTAACAGCTGCTGATACCTTGCTGATAATTGCTACTGACAGCTGTTGCTGCAACCTTGTTCATGGCTAATACTGCACTACTGTTAGCCACCACACACACACACACACACACACACACACACACACACACACACACACACACACACACACACACACACACACAGGCTAATCAGGCTAAGGAAGGAAGGAGGAGAGACAACAGGAAATGACCGTGAAGTATGTGAAGAACTCAACAAGAGATTCAAAGAAGTGTTCACAGAGGAGACAGAAGGGACTCCAGAAAGACGGAGAGGTGGGGCACACCACCATGTGCTGGACACAGTGCACACAACCGAGGAAGAAGTGAAGAGGCTTCTGAGTGAGCTAGATACCTCAAAGGCAATGGGGCCAGATAACATCTCCCCATGGGTATTGAGAGAGGGAGCAGAGGCGCATGGTACCCTAACAACAATATTCAATACATCTATCGAAACAGGGAGATTGCCTGAGGCATGGAAGACAGCAAATGTAGTCCCAATCTTTAAAAAAGGAGACAGACATGAAGCATTAAACTCAGACCCGTGTCACTGACATGTATAGTATGCAAAATCATGGAGAAGATTATCAGGAGAAGAG